CCTGCGTTAGAGCAAAGCTGGCTGGGGCATTCTGGGAGTTGAAGTCCGCCAGGCTTCCAGCGGCTAAGGTTGGAGACCCCTGCATTAGCTAGTTTTCAGACGATGCCACTGAAGGACGGTCATTCCCAAGAATCGGAGCTCCTGTGAGATGGCCTTTAGCGCTCTCATTCTGCCCCACGGCTTTTATGGATAAACACACACGGTGGTTGCCTGGAAGATTACAAATTAGGTTCCGCCAATTTTCATCCAAAGCCTGTCCCTTCTGGCCCATCTTCTTTACCTGATCATATCCTCTAGCTCTCCCCATATGCCTACCTGTGGTTGATAATGTGCTAAAGGAGAGAGAATGCATCGAATCTGAATGCAGGTCAAATGGAAATACTGCTCCTTCTAGCAAGCTGGTGAGCTAATTCTGCTTTACTGTAGGGCGACATGAACAGGATCTTACAAGTCTGAAAATACAACCTTTTACCTTGGATTGTTCCCTAGGCAGCAATTCTTCCCAAGGTCATTCCCAACATTTGCCCTACCAGTGTTGATGGGGTGTGACTTTCTCCTCCCTATTTCCTCGATTAGGGTATTGTTTTCCGCTTGGTTATTTGCCTGGTGTTAATTCCTGCTTATCTGGAATTGTGGAGAGGATCTGTTACCCTCCTCTTAGGACTTTTCTTGTCTCTTTTGTGTGGTGCGACCCCTGATCTAGTTGAACATGCGTTTTTAATCAGAGTTTGTCTGCATGTTATTTCTCCTCTACAAAATATGAAATATTCCCTATATCCTCTTTTGCAGGCTTACCATCTATTTCCTCTTTGCAAGTGCTGTCATTTAAAAATGGCAGAGCTATTCTGTTGCTCAACAATTGTGTGGTTGCACATCTGGTTTTTCCTGGAGGAGAACTTGGGGAAGAGGTGGAAGGCTGCTTTAGACTCGATTTGCCCCCACAAGCTTTGGAAAGGACAGTGAACGTTATTTTCTGCAGAGGTATTATCTTCTTGTTAGACGAGACGGGATGGATACGTATCCTTTAATATAAAGCTGGTGTTGGGTGTGGACTGCTCCAAGGACTGTTTGGCCATGTCCCAGGTTGGGTAATACTGAAATCTAAGAGTGAAAATTGACCTACTAGAGATTTAGCACAGCTTGACACTGAAAAAGGCAAAAAGTACCCTGTTGATGCAAGGGGTCTTGCAGGGTGGGTGAGGACACATGTGGAAGGGTGGTTGGGGGCTCTATAGATCCCATGGTTTGTATTCTACGAGGTGTTCACCTTTGCTTCTGGGCAACCCAACCACACTGCTCTTGTAATTGTCCCACAGCTTCTGTTCTGGCCCTTCCTTGACCTCACAAGAGCCTTCAAGAATCCACTCTAGAAGAGCGGATTACTCTAAAACAAACAGTTTTCCCTCCTAAGACTCATCAGTGGCATATAGATAAACATGAAGAGTGAAATGTTTCAAATCCTTGCATTCATTTCCAGGTCTCTAGTGGGAAATTATGCACATTAATTATACATCTTCATTGACTTAAAAATACAGCGGTAATATGTTTCCATGAAAGCAGGGATGGAGAGTTGTTAAAAGACTTGATTTAAGAAGTGAAGAAAAGAGTATTTCTTGTGATAATTAGATTTATGGTGGAGGTTTTGATCCCAGCTGTGTCATCTTTCCCTAGACTGGAATTCAGTAAAATAACCCTGTCATTTGTCTGACAGTTGATCTTTAATTGGTGCATCACAGAACATAAAAAGATGGATTTTTTTAAAAAAATGTATTTTCCCGCCAGCAAGTTCTATTGAATTTATAGCTTACTTGATTTCCTGTGCGCATTTACTCTAAAACAAGATGACATTGCCCAGTGAGGCTTCATCCTGAAGCAGGAATGCCTACAGTCGTGCTCTTTGAAGGGTATGTTTCTTTCTGTCCTGTTATTTCAACAGCCTGTGAAATTCTTTAACTTTTGCAAAGACATATTTGGTGCTACCGATGGTGCCTATTTGGCCCACATCAGTGTCGCTCTCTATCAGTCACGAGGGCAAGCAGAGGGAGACCAGGACATGCCATTTCCTCTTGTGCGGCTTAATATATCACATGATCTCAGCGTGGCTGTGGTTGTCAGCCGCTCCAATTGTGTGGCTGCTGTTGACCTCAACTTGTACTTCAGGTAGGTGGACGAAAATGTTTGAAGGCTATTTCTCAAAGGCTGCCTGATTTCCAGTCTAAAAATCATTTATATACATGATCTATACGGCCATCCATCTCGCTTGAGTGATTCTGAGTGGTTTATAAAGATTAAGAGCATGAAAACCATACAGGATAAATCAGTAACCCCCACATCAGCGGCAGCAGGACTCCCCTAATCTCTTGACCCAAACGCCTGGGGAAACGTCCAGGTCTTCAGTGCCTTAGACTAACAGGGCTGGGGCCATCCACGTCTCCCATGGGATGCAGGCGGCACTTTGTGTGAAGGAATGCCCTCTGTGCTGTGGTCCATTGGCGGCCTGCGGAGCTGGCAGCAGAGTCGGACAGTGGGGAGGAACATGGGCCAGTCCCGGAGTCTGGGAAGGGCTCGGACGAGGGATCTGCATCCAACACAGAGATGGGGCCAGGGTCATCAGAGAGTTATGCGCTGACTCTGGAGCTTCCAGAATCTGACAGCAGTGAGGCAGAGGAACAGGGGAAGCCTGTTCCCAGTACGCCCTTGCACAGAGCTGCCAAAAGGCAAGAACGGTTAAGACAAAAGGGGTGACTCGGGGAGTAAGGCTCGGAAAATATTGGCCCCTCCCATGAGAAATAAAGGAGGAGCAAAGGGACATGAGCCTTTGCAGGAAGCAACTTTGTTCATTCTGGTCGGTTTAAACTCTGAAGCTCCTTGTTGACTTTGTGGTCCGTTGTATAGCGAATTGGCAATTTAGTCGTTGGCAGCATTTCAAGGGAGATAAAGGTGGGTGCTTATCAGCCTTATCCCGAAAGAATGTGGCAGACTTCTGTAGGACTTTGATTGTGAATACCCACAATTTGTTCTTTAAATAAGACAGGACTTCCCATACTCACATCTGATTTTCACCCTATTGATTAAAACGCCCAAGTCCGTTCCCGTCAAATGAACCCAGGGCTTCCATGCTTTGGCCATAGACAAATCTATAGCTTTGGATCGTTTTCCTGAATCAATGTAAAAGTATAACGTTATGGATTCATTTGTTTATTTGAGGTCTGTCTACATCCATCCATCTACAAAAATGATTAGGGGACTGGAGGCTAAAACATAACGATGAACGGTTACGGGAACTGGGCATGGTTAGTCTAGTGAAAAGAAGGACCAGGGGAGACAGGAGAGCAGCCTTCCAATATCTGAGGGGCTGCCCCAGAGAGGAGGAAGGGGTCAAGCTATTTTCCAAAGCACCTGAAGGCCAGACAAGGAATAATGGATAGAAACTGATCAAGGAGAGGTGCAGCCTAGAAATGAGGAATTTTCTGACTGAGCAATCACCCAATGGAACAGCTTTTCTTCAGAAGTTGTGGGAGCTTCATCCCTGGAGGCTTTCAAGAGGAGACTGGGCCGCCATCCGTCAGAAATGGTGTAGGGTCTCCTGCTTGGACTAGATGACCCACAAGGTCCCTTCCAACTCTGTTAATCTGTTTAATCCCCCACAGAGAATATCCTGACCATTTATTTTGCAAGCAAAGCTTTGAGAATCTTCCTACGCAACAGTTGGAGGGGGTGAACGAAGATGGTCTCAGTAGTTCAAGTTACAGCATGAAGTTCTTGCAACCTTCATTTCAGACTGACAGGTTAGTTGGCAAAAGGTACTTTTATGGTGACAAGATAAGAGTTGTTCCATTGAAAAGTGTAATTCTTACATCTTTATTTTATATATCACTGAAAATGTTAAGATTTCCCCCCCCCCCTTTTTTTCCAGATCACGGAAGACACGCGTACTACCTTTGAATGATACACACATACACAATTATTTTCCACTTTTGTGTACAAATGTTGAGTTGCCTTGGTATCAGCATGTTCTGCACTTAGAACCTCTTAACTCTAAGGGTTTGGACGCTTCTGCCGCGTCCCTGTTTCAAGAGGTTGCGTTTGTTCTTTCAAGCTCCAGGGGGAAAGATCATAAAAGCACTGAAGAGAGGCGATGGAAGACTATACACTTAGGTGACCCAGAGGAGCGTGGGAATCTGGACTGTAAACACGTGGCCGGTTTCCAGGTGCTCTTCACTGCCTCAAGTGAGAGTGGAGGACTGACTCTTGTCCTGTGGGATTTGGTGACGCAGGACATCACCCAGTCTTGTGCGGGGAAGAACTCCTTTTTTGTGGAATATACCAGGGAGGAACCACTATGGCTTGTCCTTTCAGGTGAGCCTCTTTGATTTTAACTGTAGATAAACATTTCACCTCTAGAAAATTTCAAGAGTTGAAGTCGTTTTCTTGACATTAGGAGGGAGTTGTGTTCAAATCACTAAACAGTGAGCACTATGGAAATAACCTCTCTCCTTTTGTGACAATCCTTAGAGACCGGCCTCTTCTTGTTCCTGTTTGGCTTTACCCAAGAGGAATTCCTAAACAGGCTGATCATCTACGGAAGCGCTAGCACTGTAGATTCCCTCTGCCGCCTCAATAGGTGGGGAAGGTGTTCGATTCCTGTACATGCCTTAGAGGTGAGGAAATAAGCCCGGGCCGTCCTCGCTTCCAGGGTTGGGGGAAGCCGTGTCTGTCGGTCGCTGAGGATTTCCTGGACGACTCCAACTCTTTCCCTGGTGCCTATGAAGTTGTGAGGCCCCGGCCATCCATTCTAGAGCAGAAAGATGGATTCCCCACACTTTCTGCTCCAAATGGTTCTGGCACACAGCCGGTGGAGACACAAGATCTCCTGCTGACAAGACAAGAAACTGACTTGATTAATTCCAGCACAATATTTTTTTTCATATTGTGAAGATCGTTGTGGTTTTTTTTAAGTATTACCATTTGTATTTTAGCACCGTCTGCATATTTCATCTATTATTTATTATCTTTAAAGAATCCCAAATCTTACATAAACCACTGGTCCTTTTGGTTCTATATTACAAAGAAATATTGACTATTCCTTGGCTACAGTCAATGTTAAGTTACAAATCTATGTAAAAGTAAGCAGTAATTAACATATCATCCAGCACTTATTTTGATGTACTCAAATATATACAGAACAGATATGTTACTTAGAAAAGATCATATTCATTTAAGGTGTTTAAGCAGAGAAATTCGGCTGCTTGAACTCAACTTCTCAAGAAAAAATTCCTGTGTGATTGTCTCGATATTGTGACAGCCAGACCTCTTAAGGAGACAGCTCAGGAAGTGAGAAGCACAATCCATGGCTTGATGCTCTCTGAGACACTCAGGCCAGGTGTTAATTAAGAGAGATGAGAGAATTGATGGTGGGTTTTTGTATAAATATAATATAAAAATATATATTTTTTATATTTAGGCTGGCTTAGAGAACCGACAGTTGGACACCGTGGATTTTTTCCTAAAGAATAAAGAGAACCTTTTCAGTCTGTCTGCGGCAAGCTCTGTACAAGATCAGCCTGCAAATACTATGTCAGATTTTTACTTGAAGAGTAAGTAAACTATGAATATTCACACTGACATTTTACAAATTGCAGCATAAACCCCAAAGAAGCATCACTTGACTGAATGCAAAGTAAACCGCATTGAAGGCAGAGAGAGTGGGTCAGGGCAGATACATGCGAACCAGAGGTCCAGGGGTTTTCAGAACGCTTAATGGAATGAATTGCATACATCACTTTGAAGACAAATGCAAACTTGTGCGTTTCTTCATGTGATATTCCCATTTTTCTTGGTTTAACCCTTTTCTTTTACAGGTGTTGAAGAACTGAGGCCAGCACTGGATTTACTTTGTAAGGCAATTCAAGAAAATGATGTGGAAACCCAGAGCAAGCATTTCTCTGAGCAGCTGTTGAACCTCACCTTATCTTTTCTTAACAAACAACTCCGGGAGATTTTTACGCACAGAGAAGGTAGAGTTGGTATGAAGTATCTATTTTACTTGACAAACCAAAATTTATCCTCCGACAGCTTTGAGTAGCGATCCTAAAGATAGGAATGAACTAGCACAGGGGTCTTCAAACTTGACAGTTTTAAGGTTTGCGGACTTCAACTCCCAGAATCCCTCCTCCTCCAGTCATGTTAGCTCAGGGATTCTGGGAGTTGAAGTCCACAAACCTTAAACTTGCCTAGTTTGAAGACCCTTGATGTTTGTATTCTATCTGTCTGTCTGTCTGTCTGTC